GCGCTCCTCGGCGGCCGGGGGCAGGAGGAAGGGGACGCCGCCGTCTCCGGGTCCGAGGGATGGCCTGCATTGTTCCAGGTCAGGATAACAAGGCCCTTCCGCAGCCCCTTTCCTATGGGAATCCCCACAGGTTGCTGTCTCTCCCCATAGGAGGGGAAGTGCGGCACCAGGGGGGGTGGAACGACTCATCCTTCAGACGAGGGGAGGAGGAAAGCCGGGCCTGAGGGAGCTTTCCAGCCCTAGCTGGAGGACGTCAGAGAATAAAGCAAGCCCAGAGCCCACCCTGACACCTTCCCAATGCAGTGTCCAGCAGCTCCATGTGCTTGGTGTGGTCCCTCCACCAGCCTCCGGCTGTGCCTGGGCCCTCCCATGCCCACGGATCATCCCACTGTCAGCCTTTGGCAGCATCCCATCGTGCTCTCGGGCTGTCCAAATTCCTGTTGCACCTTTTGCTCAACGAAGAGTGCACAGAAACCTCCTTCCCTCCCAGCCCCACAAGGGTCCATCGCCACTTACAGTCTCTCCTTCCTTTCCCCACCTCCAGCTCCTTTCCCAGGCTCAGACCCTGCCATCATCCTTCCCTTCTGCGAGGTCCCTCCGGGGAGCAGGGACTCGGAGGCAGCTCCTGACCTGCGGAGTAGTGACACATGCAGAGGGGACATTGCTGAACATGATCCCTGCTGTGAGACCTGAGACAAGAACTTCCTTTCTCTTACAGAAACTGGCTCAGAATCTGCTGATTTGAGGGCTTGGGAGATACTGGGAAGAGGGGACTTGTCCTTTCCTACCAACCAGAGGGAGCCTGGATAGCCAGTGTAGTCTTAGGCCTTGCCTTCCCTTCTGCAGTGAATCCCACCAGGAGATAAACCCTGCTGGAGATTCCCGACCCTCAAGGGGCTCAAGCCTGCAGGCAGGGCCCTCCATGGCATCTGGATCCAAGAGCTCCCAAGTGCCTGGTGAAGTCAGGCTTTCCAAGCGACAGCTCCGATCACTGTAATTCCAAAGGATTGCAAGGGGTGGGGGAGGAAACGTCTCTATTTTCCTTCTATTTCTGTGAGCACATGATAGCACTTTGATACGAAATTACTTGTTTTGCTGCATCCCTCGGTATTTTTAGGCCGGGCTCCAAGCCACCCGGGGACAGGGACAGAGACTGCCACTGACCTCAGCAGCCACTGGCCCGGGCCTGGCACCAGCCACGTTCTTCCTCGGTTTGTGCCCATTTTGCAAAAAATGGGGGAGGAAAACACACGTGCAACCAGACGAAAACCCCCCCTCTGCAAGACCACGTCGGAGAGCTTTGCACGGATATAAAATCCACGGCAACCCTTGGGCTCCCATCCTTCTGGAACTTCCACCCACTCCGAGCGTTCCGCAGGAACAGCGGCTGTCTCCCGGCGATGGGGCCGGGGTTGGTACC